CTTATCTCAAAAGCTCTTAAGTCCTGCAATAGTAGTCAGTATGGCCAATTGTTGAGATCAGGGTTCCAACACTTGTTTTGTGATCTTGTACAAGATATTTAATCTCTTTAAGCCTCAGTTTCCTCATACGTCAAATGGGAATGATAATTATTACATCCAACTTACACAATTACTGCAAGCTCATGGAATGTCACTCTCATTATTTACAAACTAAAAACACTCTTTGGCATTGTTAGGTAATTCTTTGAAGTTTTTGTGTTGTTTTGTTTTTATGACCAAACAGGCCTGTAGGACAGGTAAGATGAGATATTCATATTCATTCCACAAACAGTAAATAGGAAAAGACACCACAAATGTCATTAAGTTCAAATGGCCCAACTATGTGGCTTTTGTATGGATTTCAAGGGAGATTTGTGAATATCCGTGCTTAACATAAGCACATTGAGTGTGGCCAAAGTGACTCACGGGAGCAGGCAGGCTCTATGGTCCATACCCTATCTTCCTCCTGCCAATATTACCTTAGGTTGCTTCTAATTATTCAACTAGCAAACTTTTACAGAGTGCCAGCCATCATCCAGGTCCTGCACTAGGCACCAGGGCCGCAGAGGGGAAGAGGACATTGTCCCTACCCTTGGGACAAGCAGACTAGAGGGAGAGGCAAGCGTTCAACAGATGGGTGAAATGCCATGTCATGAGGGTTGTGATAAAGGTAGTCACAGTTGAATGGCTGTGCCTACCATGGCATGTAGAGCAGGGAGCAAAATAGCCATCAATAAAATGATAGGCCCTTGTGTCTTACAATCTAAGGGGAAACAGAATTAAAACAAATCATTGAAAAGGTTAAGTGAAAAATGACCATGTGCAAAGTGCTGCCGGTGTCGTATTTAGTGCTACCAGACCATGCGACAGAGACTGGGGAAAGTTTTCCCTAAGAAAGAGATGATTAAGCTGAGACATGAGGCAACAGAATGATGTAGGCAGAGCGAGGGAGGAGAGAACATTCTAGAAGAGAAGACAGCACGTGCAAAGCTCTGGAGGAAGAGAGTGGAGGACTGGAGAAGTGCTAATGGTGAAGCTGAGAGGCAGTGGGCAGAGCGGCTGGGATGGGCTGGAGAAGAGACAAGGATCCAGATCATATGGGGCCTTGGAAGCCCCACAAAGGCCTTGGTGCCTACTCTGTGAGCAAGCACTGAAAGTTTGGAAGCAAGAAATTGACGCAGTCCAATTTTGCATGTGTATGTATTTGTGTGTGTAGAAAGAGGGGAAGGTATAATTTACATAAAATAAAAATCAGACATCTTAAGTGAGAATATATATCAGAGTAACCAACCCCCAAAACAAGATGCAGAACGTTATGATCACCCTTCACCCTAGTAAGTTCCCCCTTGCCAATTTCCAGTCCATAATCAGGTTTGTGGGGGAGGGGAGTTTACTCTGGCAACAGTGGGAAGCATGGGTGGTTGGGGTGGGAATATGGCAGTATGGAGGCAAGAAATGATGGAGGACCATCCTTGGGTAGTAGTGTTGGGGACAGAGAGAAGGGACTAGATAAACATTTAGGAGGTAAAGTTGGTAGAACTTGGAGGGGCTGGGAAGAAGGATGGGAGGAGCAGTCAAGAATAACTGGCAGGGTGGTGGCTTGAGCAGGTGGAGGGACACCCAGTGAGCCTGAGAGAGAAGAAGGATCTGGAAGTCTTTCCAGAAGAGCTAACATGCAGGCTGGATTTTGCAGAATCAATAAGAGTTATCCAGGTGAGGGATGTTAGAAGGCATTTTAGGAAGGGGGTGGTAAAGGACAATCTCTGGGAAAATTATAGGAATGAATACCTACTTGAGCACCTGGATCAAGCCTTGCCTAAGGCATAACGCAAGACATTTGAGTTATGCGAGACAACAAATTCTCCTTTGGTCTAGGCCAGTTTGAGTTTCTGAGGCAAGAAAGAGAGTTGTGACTAATAAGACCCTGAGGAGAAAGTTGAAACAGATGGGGAAGGTGAGAAAAAACTCTAGGTCTGGGGTATTGAGCCATCCCAACTCTGGTTCTCAAATGTCGTTGTGTCCTGGGAAGTGCCTGGGACCAGAAACTTGGGAGAAAATTCTAGTAAGAGGCATCATCTGAGTGTCTAGGCACAGTGGCCAGCCTGCAGGACCAAGCCCAGTACAGCGGCAGGGACAGCTCCCCAGTGGGTGGACCTGGACTTGAAGCCCACCAGCTCGGACCACTGCTTAAGGACTCCCACCATCAACACACCCCAAACACTCTTGAGCCCCAGGGACCCCTGGAAACCCAACAAGTAGCATAGCTCCTCAATCGTCCATTCTCTGGGCAGAGCCAGGCACATCAGCACACCCCACGCTGGGGACAGAGGAGAGTGGACACTTCCCTTACCTACAGCTGGGAGCCATTTGCTATGGACGGACATTGAAGTTATGCGATGGGATGAAATCCTCCAGAGCATGTGGCCCTTGAGGACGTTAGGGTCAGTGAAAGAAGCCCATTAGAAAAGGGCAGGCACTGTGATTCCACTTACATGAGATACCTGGAGGGGTCAAATTCATGGTGACAGGAAGGAGAATGGCAGCGGGGGGCCGGGGAGGGGAGAATGGAGTGGCAGGGGTTAAGGGGAAAGAGTATCAGTTTGGGAAGCTGGGAAAGTTCTGGAGACGGATGGGGGTGATGGTTGCACAACAGTGTGAACGTGCTTAATGCCACTGAACTTAGAAATGGTTTAAACAGTAAATCTTATGTATATTTTACCCCAATGGAAGAAATAAATTTTAAATATATAAAGGAGTACATGCAATGAATTTTTTTTGCTAAGCTTTGGCATGGGAATTTCAAAAAATTGAAAGAAAGGAGAAAACAGACACATTTAAATCCTGACATGGACAATAATTGGCTCATATATAACCTTTTGAATGCTTTTATTTTTCATATATGAAATGAGGCTACTGACACGACATGATCATCGTGGAGACTGGAAGCAAGGCGTCTTAAATGCCCAGCGTGGGACCAAGCAAGTACACTAGAATCAGCAAGTAAGCATGTATTATTACTGACAGTACTGCACAGCATTAATAGTTGTGATTGCATTTGGCTCTGATTTTCTCTCCCTTTACATCTCCTGCCCAGGAAACTGTTGCTACTCCTCCCGCCTTGATTATTTAACCCTGTGCTGTCAGTCAATGGACTCTACAAGGGCAAGTCTGACGACTGGCTCAGGTTTGTGCCCTCCACAGAGCTTCCCTACCTCGAATCACCCAGGGATCTCATTATCGTGAAGACAGGATTCTGGCTTAGTCTGTCTAGGCGGGGTTCCGCATTTTCAACAACACCTCTGGTTCCTCCGACCACACTCTGAGTTCCAAGGCCCAACAGCACATACACATTGCCTTGCATAGGGAAGATATTCAATAACATTTCTTTTTATCAGAAAACATGAGGTACAGAGCGGTAACTTAGCCAAGTTCACACAGCTTCACAAGACTCCCAAACAGAGTTCGAACTCAGGCAGTCCAACTCCACAGTCCACACTCTGAACCACCCACAACGTACAACTGATCTATTGTACAGCTTAAGGCTCCCCAAACTTCAGCAGCTGTGCAAATTACCCGGAAGACTTGGGAATACACAAATTCTGCCCGCCACCAGAGAGTCCTTAGGTCAGAGAATCTGCATTTCTACAAAGCTTTCACGTGATGCTGTTGCAGTGGTCCTCAGGCCATGGTATAGACCATGTTTGGGGGGAAAAATTGTCTTGCAAAAGATATTTTTTTTTCTTACACTCTTATTTGTGTGGTGGTTAAGAGCATGCGTGGATTCTGGAGCTAGACTGTGCTCAAGTCTGCAATTCACTCTTTGTGTGACTGGAAAAGTTTTCTACCCCTTCTGGGCCTCAGTTTCTCACCTACAAAAAGGGGATAATAATAGTGTCTGTCACCCAGCATGGTTGTTGAGTGGGTTAATTTATATAAAGTGTAATAGTGGATATAGAACACTGCCAGGAACATAGTCACCACTCTATAAATACTTGCTAGCAATATAATTATTTATGTAATATTTATTAAATTGCATAATTCTAATAGCAGGTGCAACTGGTAAGACAGAATTGGGAACAAACACAGCTGATTCTACTTTTTTTCTCATATTGACCCCCTTCGCCCATTTCCCCTACCAACCCCCCACCGCCCTACTTCTGGCAATTGCCAATCTGTTAGCTCAGTTTTTGTTTTGTTTTTTTAGATTCCACATATAAAAGAGATCATACAGTATTCATCTTTTTCTGTCTGACATTTCACTTAGCATAATTCCCTTAAGGTCTATCCATGTTGTCATAAATGGCAAGATTTCACTTTTTATGGCTGAATAATATTCCATTATATATATATACCTCATCTTCTTCATCCACTCATCCATCTATGGACACAGATTGTTTCCATGTCTTGGCTACCGTAGATAACACTACAATGAACATAGAGATGCAGGTATCTTTTCGAGTTAGCGTTTTCATTTTCTTTGGATAAATACCCTGAAGTAGAATAACTGGATCACATGCAGCTGTATTCCTAATTTGTTGAGGAACCTCCGTACCGTCTTCTATAGTGGCTGTACCAATTTACATTCCCACTAACAGTGCGCAAGTGTTCCCTTTTCTCCACATCCTCGTCAGCACTTTTATTTCTTGTCTTTTTGATAAAGCCATTCTAACAGACGTGAGGTGATATCTCATTGCGGTTTTGATTTGCATTTCCCTGATGAGTAATGATGTTGAACATCTTTTCATATACCTGTGGGCCATCTGTATGTCTTCTTTGGAAAAAAGACCATTCAGCTCCTCTGCCCATTTTTCAATCGGATTGTTTGGGTTTTTTGCTGTTGAGTTGAAAGAGTTCTTTATATATTTTGGATATTATCTCCTTAAGAGATATATGATTTGCAAACATTTTCTCCCATTCAGTAGGTTACCTTTTAATTTCTTATGTTATATTTTACCCCAACAGAAGAAATAAATTTAGAAAATAAAAAAGTATATGTGGGATGAATCTTGATGAGATTATGCTAAGCAAAATAAGCCAGTCACAGAAGGAGAAATACTGCATGGTTGCACTTTTATGCGTATCTGAAACAGTCAAACTCACAGAATCAGGGAGTAGCATGGTGGTTGCCAAGGCTGGGGGGAGAGGAGGCTGGACAGTAGCTAATCACCAGGCGTAAAGTTTCAGTTAGATGAGAGGGATAAGTTCTAGAGACCTGCTGTGCAACATCGTGCCTGTCGTCAACAATACCGTATTGTACACTTAGAACATATTGGGGGTAGATCCCGTGTTGAGTGTTCTTACCATAATAAAATAAAGAATATGTGGCCTAGAAAGAGGAGAGGGCATGGACAGAGGCCTGGTGTGTACCAACATGTAAGAGACCTACAGGAAGAGAAGTCTTCAGAGGAGGCAGAGAAGGAATGGATGGAGAGATAGAAAGCCATACAGGAGAGAGTAGCTTATTAGGAGCCAAGAAGTAAACAAATGTTCAATAGAGGCATCAGCTAAAGATGACAAGGACAAAAAGGGATCCCAACCACATGTTGCAAGGGGCACACATTCATTCCCTCCATGTGGTAAACAAGAGTGTGAAGTTTGCTGAAGAGAGAATGGGTAAGTTTGCATGAAGAGCCCGAGGGTCTCATGGGAGGGAAGAGACACTCCTTCCCCATCCCCCTGTCCCTAGTAATCTGCAGGGGTGTAGGAGAGTGGCCGCAACCAAGGTCTTCCTGGAGGTGGGAAGGGCAGGAGGGCCCAGAAGTAATAGGACGGTGAGGGTAAGGGAGGGGGGCTGTGGAACCAGCCTTGATGGAGCAACATGGCTGATGGGGATGAGCCTCTGAGTGGTTGAGGTGGCAGATGCTGGAAACCTGGGAGTTCCTACCCCTTCCCCCGCTGTGGGAAGAGCTGTAATGTGGGAGCTCTCTCACCTGGCCAGGAGCCCCCTGGCCAGTCCCAAACCCAAAGAGCCGAGGGCAGGCTGTGCTCCAGCGGAGGCAGCCCCAGGACCGGATGGCTCAGCCACCAACCCCAACCAGCATCCCAAACTTTCCTCACTGAGGCTCCGGGGTGGGACTCCCGTGAGCTGGGGCTTACAGGCAGGCAGGGGAGGGCAGGACTTGCCTCTCAGGTGACAAGCAGGCACCAGGAATTCTGGGACAGAGAAGGGCAAAGCTAGCTGGGAGAGAGAGACTAGAGCCCTACAAATCTCCCGTGGAGGTGCTTGGGCACTGCACCTGGGGACACCCCCACAGAACTGTTTTCTGAACCCCAAAGCAAAGTCAGGACGCTGGAAACAGGGAGTCATGGCTGCCACGGGCCAGTAAAGAAGTGGGGTGGAAGCCAGATCTGAGCAGGACGAGGAGTCAGTGAGGATGCGAAGACAGCCGACGGAATCCATCTTTTCATGGAGACAAATCCTTGACTGTAGAAGAAAGGAAAGCTATGGGGGCTTGGGTTAGAAGGATATGCAGGATGGGGGGACATGTGAGTGTTCACAGGAAGACCTGAGACTCTTTCCTGGAGGTGGACAGCTGCAGGGAGAGGCTGGAGGGGGGAAGAGATCAAGGTCCCTGAGCTGGTTGGGGGGTGACACCCAGAGCCCAGCCAGAGGGGAGGGGCCGGGAGGAAAGGGACCTGGAAACAGCCACCTCGCAGCAGGTCTTCATGACCTCACAAAGCCGGCACGCTCACTCCCAGGGTTCCAGGAACTCTGAGTCAGTCCTGGCCAGGTCTCCTGGAGCTGGATGCAGGGGCCATGGCACTCCTCACACCCCAGGGATTGAAAAAAGTCTTCCAATGCCAGGTAAAGAGCAAATGTGGCTTCTCCAAGGAAGTTGGCTCGGATCCGTCTAACAGTGAGGTGTGTGCGGGAAGCCGCGCTCGAGGGCGCCTCTCAGGATGGACACCTTGGACAGCACCCCTTCCCACACACCACGTCTGAGGCCCACGACCGGTGCGCAATGCCAGGCCAAAGGCCTCCCAGCCTTGAAGCTTGGGGCTGTTTTCTGGGCCTGCAGTGAAGCCCCTGATGCAGCAGAGCCCACCTGGAGGAAGGAGGAGGCAGGCACGGAGGGAGTGGGCACCTCCACTCCAAGAAGGGCTGGGGGGCCCTGGGGCTGGTCACCCCGGGACCACCTCTCCCAAGGGCCCCTTTGGGATTGCATGCCAACATGTGTAGGGAGTGTGTGTGGTTGTGTATGTGTGTGTGTGTGTGGGGGGACTGTTGCTTTGGGGCAGGGACGAGGGAGAGATTTTATCGGTTTCTCAGAACCCATTGTGAAGCTGAAAGGCGTAAGCAAGGAGGGGCCTGTAGAGGGATGAGGAGCCAACCTGCAGGGCCTGGACCTCTTGCAAGCTCCTTCCAGAACAGGGCATCCACAGAGCGGATCAGGGCACAGCTGCAGACCTCAGCAAGAGGACCCCATGCCAACTGTGCACACAGGCCGGCGTCCGGCCTGCAGCGACGAGCTGACGGGCAGGCAGCAGATGAAGGCTGCCCCGGGCCCCCTCCCCAGCACAGGACACGTGCCCACCACCTTCTCTAGATCTTCCAACAGCAGTCCCATCAGATGCCACCCTGGGGATTGTGAGATCAGGGTTGCTGGGGTCAGGCAGAAAACGGTGGTGCAGGAGAAGCTCCAGGTGTCCCTGGAGGCTGAGGACAGGACTCTGGGCCTCCTTCTGGTACCCAGTCTGCCATCTGTCCGCCCAAGGTCTCCACAGCCAGAGCCTCCCTTTCCCCCAGGGGAGAAACACTCCTGTGTTCAGGGGGTCTCCACTTCATGCCACACCTTCTCTTACACTCTCCTTTAAAGGCGCTTGCTCCTCCTACCTACAAGAACATTGGTGATCTACAAGAGCATTTCTGAAAGGCCAAGTGAACTCTCAAGTACAACGAGTTCTTACCTATAGATAGGAGAAAAGGTACACTGACCAGTCTTTACCCCCTGGCCTGCCAAAGTGCGTGAGTTTTCACCAAGCAAGATACGTTTCTTCTGCTAAAGCACTGCTTCACCAAGCCTCTTCTGAGTCAGTCATTTACATTTTAGTATGAATTTCATCATCACATCAATACCTCTGTGATAGCAAGTTGAGAGTAGGCTCAGAGGGAAGTAAGTTTTAGGGACGAGGAAGAAGGGACCATAATTCAGCACTTGAGGCCTGCTGGAGAGACACAAACACATGCAGTGGCTAGCATGAGAACTCTCAGAGGAAGGAGCAGTACCAGAAAGGAAAGCACATTCCCAGAAAGGGGAGGGGAAACTGTCCAGGAACCAAAGCTTCCTTGTGCCTAGGGGCATCCACATTCCCAGTCATCTGCAGGCTGGTGGGGAGCCCATGCAGGGCCCCCAGCAGTGTCTTGCCCAGTGAAGATGGCATCCTAGTTCTTGGTCACGCCCTCCACCCCGTCTCATGCCTTGCAGAAACCAGAAGGTCGGGAGCACCTCCGGAGACTGCTGCACTGGGAACAGTTTGACGAGCTGAGAGATGCCCGCAGGAGCATCCTGCTGGATATCCTCTACGAGAGCATCATCTTTGCCGTGGGCAAAGGCTTCCCGTGGGTGGAGGTGGCCAAGGTGGTCAAGTTCGCAGAAGAGCTGCTCAGGGAAACCAAAGGTACAAGGCATCCAAGGGAGCTTGCAGGGGGTGGGGGGCGCACAGGACCCCTCTGCAACCCACAGCCCCAGGAGCCCTCTGAGGAGCCTGGAGCCCCTTCCTTTCTTTCCCTGGCATTTAGCCTCCTCACATGCTCATAAACAGGGTCCCTGTCCAGGCTTTCTGGAAAGTAGAGCAAACAGAATATCCTTGCTGAGCCTTTACACTAATCTCCCTGGCTAAAAATCTTGTACCACTCCAAGCTGTTCACACAGCAGCCGGGGTGTTTGCCTCTCAGTCAGTCATTTACAGTTTAGTATGAATTTCATCATCAGCTCAATAACATTTGGGATAGGTAGTTGAGGGTAGTCTCAGAGGGAAGTAAAATTTTGTTTTAGAGAGGACAGAGGAGGGAGCATGATTCAGAATTTTTGTTTTGTTTCTGCTTAACATAAATCAAACATGTCACTCCTCTGCTTAAAATACTTCATTGACTTCCCATTGTACTCCTGAAAGACTGCAAATTGTTCCTGGTATCAGGGTTTGCTCTGCTGGATATTTTGGAGGAATCCTTCATAAGCATCAGCTTGCTGGCAGGGATGGGGGAATAACAATCAGGTGAGTTTACAGAGGGACCCTCTCTCCACCCCTGCTCCGTCTTGGGGTTCATGAAAAGAAGATGAGCATCTCTCTCTCCCTGGGACTCCATGGCACGAGGGGATGTGGTCACATTCGTCCACCTCTTGGGCTGTGAGGTGCAGGTTCATTCATAAGCAAATATATGGAGCAGCCCCCCTATGGCTACCATCATAATAATACTTGGCCAAGAATCACCAATGGGTGCTAAAGCCAGCAGGTGAATGCTTGATGAGAAATGGGATGTTTACATACTTCCTGAGAAGCTCCCCACACATCCTTACTGATCACAAAGGGGAAAAGAAGACTTTTACAGCGAGGGAGTCTGGCAGACACCTCCTTGATAAAATGCTCCATGAGTGAGAGAACACACTGAGAATACCCTGCCCCTTGGCAGGATGCAAAAGGACCACCCAGCATCCTTCTGTGACGGTTCTAGCGAAGACGCAGAACCTGATCTAACCATGAGAAAACGTCAAATTAGGCGCACTGAACAAAGTCCCTCTCCGGTAAGCTTCAAGGACATTAAGGTCATGAGAACCAAGGAAAGACAGGAACTGTTCTCAATTGAAAGATACTGAGGAGACGCAGCCATGAAATGTGACATGTGGCCCCCATTTGGGTTCTTTTGCTATAAAGAACATTATTGGGACAACTGGAGAAACCTGAATGAGGCCTGGGGATCAGACAGGAGTGATGTGTCAAGGGTGATCCCCCGCGTCTGATGGTCGTGGTGACGCGAATGTCCTTGTGTCAGGAAAGGCACACGGAAGGATTCTAGGATGACGAGGCGTCATGCAGGCCACTTATTCTTCAAGTAGTTTGGCAGAAATTTCCTTGTACAATTTTTTTTCCAGTTTTATTGAGATATAATTGACATATAACGATGTGTAAGTTTAAGGTATGCAACATAATGAATTGATACACATATATATTGCAAAATGATTACCACAGCGAGTTTAGCTAACATCCATCACCTCACCCAGTTACAAAGAGTTTTTCTTGTGATAAGGACTTTTAAGGTCTACTCTCTTAGCAACTTTCAAATATACAATATGTGTTGTTAACTGTAGTCACCATGCTGTACCTGACATCCCCAGGACTTCTATATCTTATTGCCGGAAGTTTGTACATTTTGCCCCTGTTCATCCATTTTGCCCATCCCCCACCCACCTCTGGCAACCACCAGTCGGTTTTCTGTTTCCATGAGTTCAGCTTTTCAGATTCCACAGGTAAGTGAGATTAGATGGTATTTGTCTTTCTCTTTCTGACTTCTCTTACTTAGCATTATGCTCTCAAGGTTTATCATGTCACAAACGGTAGGATTCCTTTCTTTTTCATGTCTGAATAATATTCCTGTGTGTGTGTGTGTCCTACATTTTCTCCATCCATCCATCAGTGGGCACACAGGTTGTTTCCATGTCTTGGCTGTGACAACTGTGAACAATGCTGCAGTGAACACGGGCTGCAGACATCCCTTCAAGACAGTGATTTCATTTCTTTGGGATATATACCCAGACATGGGTTTGCTATATCACGTGGTAGCTCTATTTTTAACTTCTTGAGGAAACTCCATACTGTTTTCCATAGTGGCCGCACCAATTTACATTCCCACCAACAGTGCACGAGGGTTCCCTTTTCTCCACATCCTCGCCAGCACTTGTTATTGCTTGTCTTTTTGATGATGGCCATTCTAACAGGTGTGAGATGATACCTCATTGTGGTTTTGATTTGCATTTCCCTGATGACTAGTGACATTGAGCATCTTTTCCTGTACCTGTTGACTATTTGAACATCTTCCTTGGGAAAATGTCTATTCAGGTACTTTTCCCATTTTTTAATTGGAATATTTGGATTTTTGCTATTGAGTTGTATGAGTTCCTCATGTATTTTGTATATTAACCCTTTATCAGATATGTGGTTTGCAAATATTTTCTTTCAGTCCACAGGTTGCCTTTTCATTTTGTTGATCATTCCTTTTGCTGTACAGGAGCTTTTTAGTTTCATGTAGTTCCACTTGTCTCTTTTTACTTTTGTTGTCTGTGCTTTAGTTGTCATATCCAAAAAATCATTCCCAAGACCAACGTCAAGATTTTCCCTGTCTTCTTCTGGGAGTTTTATGGTTTCAGATTGTATTATTTTTTCATAGACTTTAATTTTTAGAGCAGTTTTAAGTTCACAGCAAAACAGAGCAGAAAGCACAGAGATTTCCCACAGAAACCTTGCCCTGAACACATGCACAGCCTGCCCCATCATCAGCATCTTTCACCATTGTCACCACTGATGAACCTACACTGACAAGTCATTATCACCCAGAGTCCATGGGTTACATTAGGGTTCCTGCTTGGTGTTATACATCCTATGGGTTTGGGCAAATGTATAATGACTGGAGAACAGTTTCACTGCCCTAAAAACCTCTGTGCTCCCCCTATTCATCCCTTCCTCCCCCCCAACCCCTGGCAACCACTGATCTTTTTACTGTCTCCATAGTTTTGCCTTTTCCAGAATGTCATAGAGGTGGAATCATACAATGTGTAGCCCTTTCAGATTGGCTTCTTTCACTTAGTAACATGCACTTAAGTTTCCTTCATGTCTTTACATGGCTTGACAGCTCATTTCTTTTTGGCACTGAGCAACATTCCATTGTCTGGATGTGCCATGGTTTATGTATTCATTCACCCACCAAAGGGCACCTTGGTTGCTTCCAAGTTTTTGCAATTATGAATAAAGCTGCAATAAATATTTGTGTGCACATTTTTGTGTGGACATAAGTTTCCAGATCCTTTGCGTAAATACCAAGGAGTGAGATTGCTGGATCATATGCTAAGAGTAGGTTTAGTTTTGTACGAAACTGTCAAACTGTCTTCCAAAGTGGCTGTGCCATTCTGCATCCCCACCAGCACAGCATGAGAGCTCCTGCTGCTCCACATCCTCACCAGCATTCACTGTTGTCTGTGTTCTGGATTTCAGCCATTGGTATGTAGTGGTATCTCATTGTTTTAATTTGCATCTCCCTGATGAAAACGTGAAGGATCTTTGCATGTGCTCCTTTGCCATCAGGATTTCTTCTTTGGTGAGGTGTCTGTTAAGGTCTTTACCCACTTTTCAATCAGGTTGTTTTCTTATTATTTAAGAGTTCTTTATATATTTTGCTTAACAGTCCTTTATCAGATGTGTTTTTTGCAAATATTCTCTCTCAGTCTGTGGCATGTCTTCTCATTCTCCTGACAGTGCTTTTGCAAAGCAGAGTTTTGAAACTTAATGAACTCGAGATCATCAATTCTTCTTTCATGGACCACACCTTTGATGTTGTAGCTAACAAGTCATTACCACACCCAAGGTCATCTAGATTTTATCCTATGATATCTTCTAGAGGTTTAATAGTTTTGTATTTTACATTTAGCTATTTGACCCATTTTGAGTTAATTATTGTGATGAGTGTAAGGTCTGTGTCTACATTTAGTCTTTTGCACGTGGATGTCCAATTGTTCTGGCACTACTTGGTGAAAAGATTATCTTTACTCATTGAATTGCCTTTGCTTCTTCATCAAAGATCAGTTGACTATATTAATGTGGGTCTATTTCTGAGCTCTCTATTATGCTCCATTGATCCATTCGTCTATTCTTTTGCCAATACCACACTGTCCTGATTGTGTACTCTTTTTGAAACTTTTCTTTATTTTGAAATCATTTTTTTAAGTATACTATTTTTTTTAATGTGTGGCACATTTGAGGCCCTCCTCTGTCCTTCTGACCAAGCAAACAGGATGCAGGGTGCCCTGTCCCTGACGCATGATGTCCCCAGCCCCGATGCACCCAGAGCTCACCCACCAGTCACATCAGCAGCACATCCGTGTCCTTCTCTGATCTCACCACTTTCACCATCTCCTCGTCCATCACCCTTTCTAACCCACCTCCATCCTTGACTCGTCCACTGCTTTCAAATCTTGTACTTCTGCACCATTCGCCAAATGACACAATGATTTTTTTCAGACACAGATAAAATTCCATCACTCCCCTGCTTCCAGCCACTCCGTGTTCCCATCGCACTTCTTGTGTGCACTCAGATCAGCCTCTTTTTATTTCCACGCTGCCCGTGTGCCCTTCCACTTCTCTCCTCCAGGCCAGCGTTCCCACCCAGTGGTCCCAGTCTTGAAGCCTTGAGCAAGACATGGCATTGCTCATGGCTTGTTTTCAGAGATCCTGAGGAAATTTCATTCCCCCCCAGTCACCCCCAGCCCCCACCCCCGAGGTCTTACTGGCATCCTTCTGGGTCCCCTGCTCACAGCAACGCATGCGTACCAGAGTTCAACCCCATCGGGTGAGCTCTGCAGTGGCTCGTGGCCAGAACAAACACTGACGAGCGGGAAGAAGAATGTCAGCCC